GAAGGATGGATGGATAGATGGAGGGGTGGATGGAGGGAGTGAGGGATAGATGGAGGGAGAGGTGGATGGAGGGAGGGGTGGAGGGAGGAATGGATGGATGGATGGAGAGAGGGAGGGAGGGATGGATAGATGAAGGATAGATGAAGGTGGGGTGGAGGGAGGGAGGAATGGATAGATGGAGGTGGATGGAGGGAGGGAAGGATGGATGGATAGATGGAGGGGTGGATGGAGGGAGTGAGGGATAGATGGAGGGAGAGGTGGATGGAGGGAGGGGTGGAGGGAGGAATGGATGGATGGATGGAGAGAGGGAGGGAGGGATGGATAGATGAAGGATAGATGAAGGTGGGGTGGAGGGAGGGAGGAATGGATAGATGGAGGTGGATGGAGGGAGGGAAGGATGGATGGATAGATGGAGGGGTGGATGGAGGGAGTGAGGGATAGATGGAGGGAGAGGTGGATGGAGGGAGGGGTGGAGGGAGGAATGGATGGATGGATGGAGAGAGGGAGGGAGGGATGGATAGATGAAGGATAGATGAAGGTGGGGTGGAGGGAGGGAGGAATGGATAGATGGAGGTGGATGGAGGGAGGGAAGGATGGATGGATAGATGGAGGGGTGGATGGAGGGAGTGAGGGATAGATGGAGGGAGAGGTGGATGGAGGGAAGGGTGGATGGAGGGATGGAAGGATAGATGGAGGGAGGGATGGATGGATAGGTGAAGGTAGGGGTGGAGGGAGGAATGGATGGATGGATGGATGGAGAGAGGGATGGATGGATAGATGGAGGGATGGATAGATGGAGGGAGGGAGGGATGGATAGATGAAGGTAGGGGTGGAGGGAGGGAGGAATGGATAGATGGATGGAGAGAGGGGTGGTTGGAGGCAGGGATGGATGGATGGATGGAGGGGGGGAGGGATGGATCGATAGATGAAGGGAGGGGTGGAGGGAGGGAGGAATGGATAGATGGATGGAGAGAGGGGTGGTTGGAGGCAGGGATGGATGGATGGATGGAGGGGGGGAGGGATGGATCGATAGATGAAGGGAGGGGTGGAGGGAGGGAGGAATGGATAGATGGATGGAGAGAGGGGTGGTTGGAGGCAGGGATGGATGGATGGATGGAGGGGGGGAGGGATGGATCGATAGATGAAGGGAGGGGTGGAGGGAGGGAGGAATGGATGGATAGATGGAGGGGTGGATGGAGGGAGTGAGGGATAGATGGAGGGAGAGGTGGATGGATGGAGGGAGAGGTGGATGGATGGAGGGAGGGGTGGTGGAGGGATGGATGGATGGAGGGCGGGGTGGATGGAGGGAGTGAGGGATAGATGGAGGGAGAGGTGGATGGATGGAGGGAGAGGTGGATGGATGGAGGGAGGGGTGGATGGAGGGATGGATGGATAGATGAAGGTAGGGGTGGGTGGAGGGACGGATGGATAGATGGATGGAAGGAAGGAACTATGGATACAATAGATAAATAGATCCGTCTGCTCTCCCTCCACATGTCTCCAGTTCGGCATGAATGTGATTTATGTGGTTGGGTCTCCTCACTCGATGTATTGCACTGTTCGCAGTCCATGGACCTGACACCAGAGTCACATCACAGAGTCCAGTTTGTTCCTCTTTATGATCTCCATCTCTGATGACATATAACACAGAGGTATATAGAAGGCTCGGCTCTCAGAGATCAGGACCGGTGTCAGGGACTTGGTGACCCTGTACATGGACGACTCTCATCCTTGGTGTGTCCAATGAAATCAGGGACACCAGGAATAAAAGGACACAACCCCCCCCCCCTTCCATAACTGTTCTATGTTTAGTTAAAGGGAGCCCGTGCTGAGAGAAGTACTGATATGTCTGGCTTCTGAGGCCACGGACCAATTGTTCCTCTTACATAGACCTGGTTGGGGTGACCTCCTGGACCAATTGTTCCTCTCACATAGACCTGATTGGGGTAACCTCCTGGACCAATTGTTCCTCCTACATACACCTGATTGGGGTGACCTCCTGGACCAATTGTTCCTCCTACATACACCTGATTGGGGTGACCTCCTGGACCAATTGTTCCTCCTACATACACCTGATTGGGGTGACCTCCTAGACCAATTGTTCCTCTTACATAGACCTGGTTGGGGTGACCTCCTGGACCAATTGTTCCTCCTACATAAACCTGATTGGGGTAACCTCCTGGACCAATTGTTCCTCCTACATAAACCTGATTGGGGTGACCTCCTGGCCAATTGTTCCTCCTACATCGACCTGATTGCGGTGACCTCCTGGACCAATTGTTCCTCTTACATACACCTGATTGGGGTAACCTCCTGGACCAATTGTTCCTCCTACATAAACCTGATTGGGGTAACCTCCTGGCCAATTGTTCCTCCTACATCGACCTGATGGGGGTGACCTCGTGGCCAATTATTCCTCCGACATCGACCTGATTGCGGTGACCTCCTGGACCAATTGTTCCTCTTACATACACCTGATTGGGGTAACCTCCTGGACCAATTGTTCCTCTTACATACACCTGATTGGGGTAACCTCCTGGACCAATTGTTCTTCTTACATACACCTGATTGGGGTAACCTCCTGGACCAATTGTTCTTCCTACATCGACCTGATTGCGGTGACCTCCTGGACCAATTGTTCCTCCTACATACACCTGATTGCGGTGACCTCCTGGACCAATTGTTCCTCCTACATACACCTGATTGAGGTGACCTCCTGGCCAATTGTTCCTCTTACATACACCTGATTGGGGTAACCTCCTGGACCAATTGTTCCTCCTACATACACCTGATTGAGGTGACCTCCTGGCCAATTGTTCCTCCTACATACACCTGATTGCGGTGACCTCCTGGACCAATTGTTCCTCTTACATAGGCCTGATTGCGGTGACCTCCTGGACCAATTGGAGACCATAATTGATTGTTATAAATACTGACTCAGTTATTGGAGGATTTCTAGCCTCTGACACTCTAGAACACTCCAGAAGGTTTTACAGTTGGGAAGCTTCATCCTCCTGAAGACTCCAAGATTTGAAGATCAATCGAACTCCTAATAATCATAATCATGCTGAGATATTGATTAGGCCATTACAGGTCCTCAGGAGATCACTAACGAGGGTTTCCATGGAACATTTCCTGAGCTGTTCATAGCTTTCTTCCTGTTACCAGATTACCGAGAGCAAAAGACTGAAGGGGAGGACGGAAGGAGACGGGGGAGATAGGGAAGTGGGGACGATATGGGAGGT